TTAGAACCTAACCTGAGTGGAAGACGGAAAGGATCTGCCATGAAAACGAAGAAAGAGTTAGTTGGGATATTTTGGATTGCTAAGACGAAGAGAGAGAGAGAGAGAGAGAGAGAGAGGAAATGAGAAAATATACAGCGATTGAATTGAAGTGTGGTTTGTGAAGTTTAAGAAGGAGGAGGACGATGAATCAAAGTTGGTGGCCTTGGACTCTGATTCATAGATAGAGGGAAACAAACGTAGAAGAAATTCTTCTCTTATTTTATTTAATTTAATTATGAATTATGAAATGACAGACATACCGTAAAATAAAAGGTTTCGATTTTATATAAGTTTGGGACGACAGGGGAAACCGCACGGAATATGTTCACACGCGCCAAATGATTCAATCCATCTTATTCTTAAAACACTTCATTGATAATGGAAAATAGTATATTAAAAGACAATTCTGATGACAAGGTAAATAGTTGTAAAAATATTTATTACGTTTAATATAAAAATTATTTATGCATACGTTTATTAAATAATTTAAAATAACTATTTTTTGTCACTTTATAATTCTAATATAAAAATTAATACATGAATTTAATGTTTAAATTTTTTATTAAAATTAGGATGAATATTTAAATTTTTCCTTCAAAGAAATAATTAAGAGACTCTTTAATTCTTGAAAAAAAAATAACTATTTTAGTCTCTTAAAATTATTAAAGTGGGACAATTTGGCTTTATGAACGCAAAGAGTGAAATATTATATATTTATAATAAAAACTGTTTAATTATTTTTTTTAAGAAACTAAGTAGGTCAATCAAAAAAAAATTTAAAATTAGAATGAGAATTTATTCTTAAAATTATTATATATTTTTTATTATATGTCTTTATCTTTCTGCTTTGAAATTCTTTTGTTTTAAAGAAAGAGTATAATTGATAAAAAAAAATTGTTGATATATATTCAAAGATATATAACAAATACTTAATAAAAATATTTTTTATTAAAAATTATAACATTTAACATTATTAATGCATTAAATACTATATTTTTTAATGATAATATATTATGTGTCATTGACTATAAATTAAAGAATTAAAAATATTTAATATTACATTAAACTTTTAAAATAATAAATAAATTTTAAAGAGTAAAGACTACTTTATAGTTAGCTTTTACAAGACCAAATAAATATCACTTTTATTATAAAAAATAATATTACCATTTTATAAAATATCACTTTAATGCATTAATATGGCTATTAATTTTATATTTTTAAATTTCATATGTACAATTTACAAATATTTCACAGTTTTTTTAAACCTAAAATCAAAATTCTTATTTTGGGATAATTTTCACTATCGGCATAACAAAAAAAGAAGTATTAATATATAAGATGATAAAATAATTAGATTATTGAACATTTTCGTATATTTTATGATAAAAGAGCAGAGAGCTAAAATGAGCATTATTTGTAACAAATTCTGAGATAAAAAATATCACTACCTTTCAATTTCACTATCCAATAAAAAAATATTATCTAAAAATGAAATAATGAATTTATTTCTCAATATCCTTTTATTTTTAAATGGAAATAAAATCTATGTTAATAAATAAATTTTTTTTTACTTTTAAAAATTATTTAAAAACAGAAAAAAAAAACAAACTTTTGTTATAAATATTCACTGCTTAACATGTAGAAGAGATAAGTAGTAAATGCAATAGTGCATGTTGAGGTGTTTTCCTCACAATCTAATCATCAATTTCAATATGTTTTTTTAATTGGAAAGAAAAACAAGGCCAAATTTAGCTTTTTAATGCACTGTTGTTAGCTTTTAAAGAAATTCAGAAGATTGATGTACAGAAAATGCTCATGTTAGGCATCCTATTAAGCATCTACAGACAAGAACATTCGGAAAAGGCTCTCCTGAATCATGTAAAAGATTTTGAGCATTATAAAAATTGATTGACTAATAAGTAAAGTTATATTTAAATCAATTTTAAAATTAAAAATTAAATAGTATATTTACCTTAAATTTAAATAAATATCCGTAACAAAAAAACTATTAATACTTTATTTATTATATTTACTTATATATAGGTTACATATGTTAATTTTTTTACTGGATTTTTCAATATTTTTAAAATAATATTAAATTAAATAGTAAAATAATAAAAGGTATTTGCATGTATAAAAATGAAAAAAAAAATCATAATATTTATCGAATAATTGATGTAAATTTTCTTTTATCATGACACAATATTTATCAATTTAATTGTTTTTTTAAATCTTATTATCATGAATTATAAAATATTTAACTGGGCTTATATTAGTAAGATAAAAAATATTTAAAAGAAAAAAGTACTAGATTGAAAATTAAAATTTAGTTGAACTTTTTATTCATAAATTTTTAAATTTAATTAATTATTATGTTTAAAAATAATTGTTTATAACATATTACTTTAATATACAAATAAGTCAAACAGACAGTGAAATTGTTTATATAATTTTATCCATGATAGGAGTAAAAATTATTTAAACTTTAATTATAACAATAATTTAAAGATTTTCTTATAATTTTTTTATGTTAAAATATGATGTCAAATATTTGTTATAAGGTAATTAATAATTATAATTTTTCATTTTAAAATAATTACAATAAAAATATTTAATTTTAGAAAATTATAATTTGAAGTATTAAAAAATTACAATATGAAAGTTTTAAATAATGATAAAAAACAATAAAACTGGACAAAAAATATTTTTTAATTCAAAAAATATTAATTTTTAGTATTTTTGAACACAAGATACTAACACGAAGTTTTCACAAAATTTTAATAGCTCTAAACAATCAAATTGTAATAATTTAAAAAAAATACAAAAACTAAATTATATGATTATGATTTTTTTTCTCAGTCAATGAAAAAATTTCTTATTTTAGGTATGTCATAAAATTGTAATACATAAATAAATTTTATTAATTTCAATCTTAAAAATATAATAATTTTTTTTAATAAAATTTTATTATTATTAAATGCTTATCTTCAACTTTAACGATTGAGATTGACAAAATTCATAAAAATTATTATAATCATACAATTATATAAGAATGATTAAGACTATTTTAGTCAAATTATATTAATGTTTATTTAAATACATTGTAAAAGTTAAATCTTCTGACAACCTCATCTTATTTGTTGCTTCATTTTCTCAATCTAATTACTAACATTCTGTCGAACCAATGTTAAAACATAAGAAGTATACGAAATGAGAGAGTTTTTAAAACTCGAAATTTTGGACTAAATGGTAATATTCAAACATAAAGGTTACGTAAATGTGTAGATCATGAGATGACATTTTTAATTTCATTACCAAAGATTGACCAATAAGTTAAGGGATCTCTGAAAGAGACTCAAAGGTCTACGTGTGGGTGAGAGCTAATCTTTGATGCCATATGTCAAAATATTAAAAATAAAAATTCCTTATTACGGATATTTTAATATTGTAAATGCACAGCAGACAGCACAATGCAATTTATTAAATCAACCAATATTGTGCTACCAACCATCCTTGTGTTTGGTCTATATCAAACCTAAATGTTTTCTAGACATATCTGAACTGATATTTAATTTGGCAAAATTCAAGTGAAGAATTATAAGTGTTTGAATATTGTTTTTTAATTGAGTCAAATTTGATTTCAGTTGTTTGTTTTTTTAATGTAAATTTTTTATATAAGAATTATTAATATTAAATATTAATAACCCATATTACAGCAAAAAAAAATATTAATAACCCATAGTTGTTGGTTTAAGTGGTACTCGATTGATTTTCGTTAAACAAGGTTTTAAAGTCGAACACTATGAATAATTTTTTTATTAAACTATATAAGTCAATGACATGCTATGACTTCATCATATATTTTGTTAATTATTAAATAAAAATTTAACTTAAATGACTAAAATTTAAGAGAAACGAAACGGTGTATCGGTTAAAATATAAAGAATAAAATTAAATAAAACATAAATTAGCTAGTTTAATTATATTTTTAATTAAAATAATGAAATCCAATCAATTTCAAATAAAAATTAAAAAAATTTCGGAAGACAAATGATAACCTTACCAGATCTGATTGTGACGTGTAGGAAAGTGACGTGCCATAAAGGATTGGCTCCCACCTCTCACATGAATCAATAAGGGGGGGTGCAATCATTTACCTTATCACAAAAATAATTACGTCACAGCAAAAAAAATTCAAGAAAATTTTTAAAAGCAATATCAATATTTTTAGGATATTAATTACAATTTAAATTTTTTTTATTAAAATAATTATTCTGTAAGTTTGATATTTTTAATGTAATTAATAGTATTTTTTTTTATTTTCTAATCTATATATTTCAAAACGTATTCTTAAACTTGTAATAATGTTATTGTTAATGCGTTAGAATTTTGGAACATACAACATTATTGGTAAGCCTTTATTTAGACAGATGCATTTTAAATTTTGATAAAATATAAAGCATATCAAAAAATATTTAATAAAGTAATAAATATTTTAAATAAGGCATGGAATTAATATTAACTATACAATTTTTTAAAAATTATTGACTTTAAATTTTGAAAGTAGAAAATTATGAACGGCATATGTAAACTGTTAAGAAAAATAGAACAGATAAAGTTCTCAAGAAAATAGATTTTAATTTGATATATTGGAAAAAAAAATTTCTAGTATTAGTCAAACTCTTGGATTATTAGCATGATTCCTGTATCAATAATGTTTTCATGCATACTTTCCGCATGCAAAACACGACCCTAAGTAGATCGAACCATTAGAACTGAAAAATCTCACGTAAAATCCACATAAACGAGATCCTAACAAATTGATCATAAACATTTTCCCTCCATTAAAGCCAGTTATGATGGATTTGTTCTAGTTGTAGAGCCAGTTATAGAATCTGAGTTAAGAAATTAAGAGTTTTGCGTTAAGATATTAAGTGTTGAAAAATGAAAATGTCTCATTCCATATCAAGCTATGAGCAAAGATATTTAAATGTCAACATCCCCTACCGAAATTCTCGAACCTCCAAATTCACAAGTAGCAAGATGGCCGACTTTGATGATCTACAACTCTACTTCTAATTACATATCTAGTATATACATATTTTACATTAATCTAGGCCTTGCATTGGAGGTATATTTCATGTGAATAATTTGTAGCCTTAGGTACCACTATCAGCATTTATAGGTTTAGCTACCACAGTAAAGATCACTTGATGGTTGAGCTTTTGCATAACCAAGTCTTTAGAAATTTTGCTCGGGAGCCAAAAGATGATATTATTGTCACGGGCACCGCATGAAAGGTCATCATCTCTTAACACCAATAATATCATGAGATAAAATCAACGGTGAAGCCAAAACTCAAACCTCTATGTCTTCGACTTCTGTTCTTGCGACAAAACTGGGAAATGCCAAGGTAATATCCCTGTAACACGTGGAGGAGACATGCATGAAGAGAAGCTCAGTCATTAATAAAAATTAAAATACTATATACGCAGATACGAGTGAAAAGGATAAAATTTAAATGCAGTTATATAAGTGATTATTTGGGAGAGGAAGGTTTGAAGGGAAAGAAATGGAATCATATTTTTTAATTTTAAATTAAGAGTTATATATTATTTATGATGATAAATAGATAATTAATATATTAAATTTTTGTCAAAAATATTATTTTATAATATGAAATTTATCTTTTTTTAAATATATTTTTCCAAACAACTTAAGTTTGTGTTGAACAACGAAAAAAGTTATGAATAATAATTATAAAAAAATAAAAATAAAAAAAATTAAATTCTCTTTGAAAACATTAATTGAAATTTTTTGTATTTAATATAAAAAATATCTAAATAAAATTCTGGAACATTTTAAAAGCACTTTTCCTTGTAATTCAAACACAAAATCTAATAAAACGTTAAATGCAAACATTTTATTTATGGTTCAATTCAAGGAGAGCTTACTTACTTGAGATAGGGCAGGGTCATGTTCTTTATCAAGGATGGATGCTTGGACACAAATTCTTTCCACTCATCTTGATCAATCCTTCCATCACCATTTATATCAGCATCACTAAAAGTCTGTAGAAGAAAGTATACAAGTCAAGCAACGCCAAGTTCAAGGGAGGGAAGCTCTTAAAATTAGTAATATGATAAGGTAAAACTTAATGAACCTTTTCCACAATGGTTTCAATCATATCATCTGAAAGTACAAGATCTGACTCGTGCAAAAGTGCCAATACCATCTCCTTCAACTGCAGATAAACCATTTAAGGGTCGATATAAATGTAATCTTAAAATAACTAAAAGTAATTGTACGTTGTAATTTGATCGATGGAATAAAAGAAAACCATACCTCCTCTCGTTCAATGCACCCTGTCTGCCTCAGATCATATAACTTAAAAGCAACTGCAAAATCATTATTCCCAATTTAACAGAAGATAAGTATCTGGTGAGTGACTGAAAAGGAATTAATGTAACAGAACATAAATAACCAGTGCATATAATTCTTGCAGATAGACTGCTTAATAAAGGAAAAGAAGACATTAACATAAAACCTTGATGTTTTGAAGAGTAAATCTTACAATTCATTTTTTCTTCTAAAGCTGCATTTGGGTGAAAAACACCCAACGATCGAACGAATTCCCCGAACTCAATGACCCCATTGCGCTTGAGATCAAATAAGTCAAAAATCTATGAAGATGAAACAAATGTGAGTATGAATCAAAATGAAACAGTAGGAGTGCAACACAAATCGAAAGAAGTGATATGACTGTCAATGTAGAACAAGAAGATTAGGTGAAATTATTTCACTGAAAAGTTAACATTTTGAGCAACTTCGGATATTTTAAGTCATTAGCTATAGCTCAAAGTCTTCAAGAACATGAACTCTGATCGAAGAATGTTAAACAATAGAGCATGGAATAGATTTACAAACCCTGTCTGCAAACAGATTTCTCTTATTTTTGTTCTGGAAAAGTGCCAGCTGGAATTCTTCCTGGATGTAAAGATGAACGAGAAGTAAATTATCTAATACAGAATTGCTTATCTAAACTATAAAAAAAATAAAACTAAGTACTCAACTCACCCGGTGAATAAGACCATCTTCAATAACTGAATTGCTTATCTTCTTATAGAGTTCATGCAAGGCCTCTACTTCACTAACAGTAACTGTAAAGAAGAAAAAATAAAATTTTTCATCTGTTTAGAAACTTAATATCGAACTGGTTAGAATGACGAATCACAACTAAGGAAGTTTCTACAAACAGTAATGTAAAATATAAAGTGAAAGCCTTCGAGGGCCATATCAATCATGTAGCACAACAGCAATAATTACTAGTCAGCATTTTGTAATTTTTTAAAGTCATTCTTGTCTTAACTTGTGTTGGATGGAACTAAATCCCTTGCGTTTGGAAAGAAAAGCAGATGATTGGAAAGAGTTCATAAAGAATTCAACATTGATTAGATGTGGTGTTAAATGTGTCTGTGCTGCGATGTTGAATGTTTCCTACGGCTTGAATTTCAAATTCAACGTTATGAAGATAAAACTGTTAATTGATCTAAGAAATTGATAAAAATAAAGCAGGGTAAAGCAAGTACTGCATTCTAGTGTGGTGGAATAGAATTAGAAGAAACATGGTTAGCAAAAGGACTTTGATGCTTCTTAGCCGAAGGAAAATCAAAATTTAAATAGCACAGCTTCAAGAATTTACCACTTGATGACGTATACTCACAAGGTGTCACGGAAGCAAGAACGGTTGGTTCCTCATAATCTGGTGTTTGGATTTTCTTTGAAGTCGAAAAGTAGCAGCCCATTAAAAAGAACCACGAAATTCCCTTTCAAAAAACTATAGATGCATTCTACGGAAGCCACCGGAGAAAAAGGCAAATTTTGAATAACTGCAAAAACAGTGAAACTTTTCACACCCTTATATATTGCAAGGATTACAAGAGTATCCAGAAGACCAACTTGTATTTAGATAATTTGCTTGTGATTTGAGAATTGACAGAACCTCAAATTCCAACCATCCAACTTAAATAAACAATTCATCACATAAATTGCTAAACCTGACTATAGGTGAAAAAAATAAATATAATATTTCAATATCATTTAGCCATCATTCATGCTCACAATATTTTACTTTCCAGTGTCCTCAATAAAGTCAAAGCAAATCAAGGAAGGAAAAACTAGTTTCTCCCTGTCGATATTAATTGTTAAATCCATTAAGACAAGACAACTCTGATGACCGAAAGGTTTTTTTTTTTGTTTTTTTTTTTTTCCTTTTTTAAATGATTTCTTTCCAGGTAATAGTATAATATTTTTTTACGCATACAGTAATAGTATAATGAAAACAACATAAATAAAACGGAAAATAATAGTGTCATTAGCACAGCCCAACATGCATATTTTTTTATATACACACTTCCACAATCTATGTTCAACTTGACACGGCTAAATTCAAATGATGTCTCAAATTCTTTACAAACGAAAAGGACACGGAAAAAAATAGAAATTCAAGGAATACAATAAGATTGTCGGATGAACTGGCACAAAAATATTTAAAAATCATGAGATTAAGACGAATCCCAAATCAAAAGAACAAGGATAGTAAAAGATGGTCTTATAACACCAGTTAGAATAAGGTTCACAGGTTGGCCACGTATCCTTGGAGCTTGGTGAGCAACCATCCGAACCGAGCACCATCTTGCCGAATAAACAATTGCAACTTCGACAGTGTGTCATTTTTTGACATTTAAAAAAAAAAAAAGAAGCTATTATCTATATATAATTTGCAGGGAACTGGGAAACCTTCATAAAAGAAAAGAATATCATGGATCATAAAAGCCTAATCCTAATTATTAATACACAGAACCAGAGAAAGCATAGGTGAACACTGAACAGATATAGCCTCCCCCGCTTACTTAATTAAAGGATATCAGACGTTACGGCGTCAACAATGGACATTAGTTCCAAAATTATTATATTTTATTAGGTCTTGTTAACTAAGGTAGTAAATTAAGGGATGAGTAAATAAAAAAATAATTTTTTAAAATTTTTAATCTCTAGTATTCTTAATTAATACTTTCTTTCTCTTTATTTGATATTTTAATATTTTTTATAGAAAATCCCAAATAATAAATAAAAAAGAACGGAAAAATATCTTTATATTTTATTTCTCAAACAAATAGGATCAATTCTCCATACTAAAGAGTGAAACTAGTCGCTGTTGGGTGTTACGCACACGCACTCATTATTCCTCCCACGTTTTTCTCTTGGAGGAATGTTAACAATATATATTTTTGACATTTTTTTATTGCATTCTTTGCATTTTATTAAATTTTAAAGGGTTTAAACCACTTTTAAGAAAAATATTTTATAAAATAAATACTTTTTAAAAGGTTAGAAATTCATAAAAAAGTATATAAAAAATATTTCTAATATATTTTTTATTAAGTATAAAAGATGCGTTTAGATAATAATTTAATTAACTATTTATTTTTTATATAAGATATTTTTATTATAAATTTGACTATAAAACTTATTATTATATATTAAAAAAATTTAATAATTATGTAACAAAAATTATTAAAATAAACTAATATATATATATATATATATATATAAATTAAATTATTTTCGTAAACTCTATAATTCCTGCAAAAGACACCCAGGATTGCAATACTAGCCGTGAATTATAAAAGTTTTACTGTCAAATCTTCAAATTCTTGACTTAATATTCATATTAGAGAAATTATATTTTTGTATAATAAGGTATAAAAAAGAAAAGTATATGATGAAATAGTTAATGTAATAAAGATAAAAGTAAAAAAAGGTAATATAAGATAAATAATACAACCTTTTTCACCTTTTGCACTATGAAAGATTCCCAACTTATTGTTTGAAAGGACACCTCTATCCTATAAAGGTGTCAAAAAATTTGTGAAATGCATATAGCTAATAAACAATAAAAGAAAATCAGCATTTGATTTCATCTATCCTAAGGCAACCGAAGGGTGCAATTGAATCTGAAAGTCCTGGAATCGTGTCCGAATCATTGACAACTCGAAGATTCTAGAATCAACTAAGATCGTAATCTATATTTCGAGAGGAGAGGAGGATCTACGCTGGATCATCGAGGAAGGGTCAAAGAACGAGAACATGGTATTTTTTTCTGGAGAGAAAATCTCGAATGCGGATTTCCCCTTCCATTGAAATTTAAATCAATTTACGAAAAGAAGATGGAGAACACGAGCAAACAAAGAAAAAGCAGCATTTACGAGAGGGAGAGAGAGACTAACCTGTTATGTTAGACTTGAGCAGCAACGTTGAGCGTCTCGAAATAGATAATTTAGATATAGCAGAGAGAGAAATCTGAATTGAGGTGGAGAAATGAAAATATAAAGACTGAAACGTTGATGCGTTGCAGATTTATAATGAGGTCACTGAAGAGAGGAGTATGATCAGAGGCGGAAAATTTGAACTTTTCTTACAAGTTCCAGCTGGTGGCTGGTCCCACCCTCCGCTGCCGTCATCACCTTACCCATTTTTATACTACAACACCAAAATATATACACATACGTGCGCTACCGTTTATTCCTTTTATATGTTTTTTTTTTCTTTTCTAATTTTATTTATTTGAGATATTTTTATTAATAACAAATATAAAAGTATTTAAAAATTTATTATAATTTCATATGTAATGGATTTTTGTTTTTTTTTTCTTTTTTGTTATTCCTTGACTTTTTGTCAGTTTATTTTTAAAAATATTGCATACATTAAAAAATATAATTGATGTTTTTATTTGTATTAAAATTTTCCATTTTTTAATATGATTTATTAATTATTCTTTTACTTATGATAGATATACAAAATATTTAAAAACTAGATAAAAATATTGGTATAAAACAAATCTGTTATATTTTATTTTTTAACATGATTGCTTACAAATTATATGTATTATTAAGTTTAAACTATTGAAGACAAAGAATGTAAAGGCAAACTTAAAGAAAAAGAGTACAAAATCGCTAATTCATTTCCAAAAAATATCAAGATAAAAGCATTGATCTGAAGTAAAAGCTACAACATGCCTAAAAAGAGTATAAAACGTAATGAATATTTGCTTAGTAGGGTTGGGTTTAGGGTTTAAAAACCATTATCTAATAAATATAAAAATAAATACTATAATATTCTATCGAGACTTTATCAATGATCTTCGCTACCTATATTGAATGTTAGCCATTTTGTTGGCAGAGTAACAGATATTAGAATCAATTTTTTTAAGGTAGGTATTATAAAACATTTTGGTTGAAGATAATTGCTAATATTGAATAATAAGGTGATTTTAATGTTTTTATTATGGTCAATGTGATCAATAATTTTTATAATGATCCAAAATTTTTAATTGAGAAATAAGCCTTCTAATCCAGTGTTTTAGCCTCTAAAAGATTATTTGAGTTTTTAATAGAGTAATATTATTTATATAACATTTTGTAATGTTTTTAATCATGTTTTACATTTTTATATGCTCCATTGGAGGGCAATGTAAGGTCATCTCCTGGCTAATAAAACTTTTTTCCTGAAATCTCCCTTGTCGTCACAACCTGATTTTCCTCACCGACTTTCTTTATTTCTTGTGCACCAAACCATACACTTAGCTATCAGTCAACTTCAGTTGTCCTAGAAAATTTAAAGGGCAAGTCGAGCACCTATCTCTATCAGATTTTCAATACAAATAAAATTCGTTCAACATGCATAAATACAGAGTTTGAAATATAGTTCACAAAATGGAGACATTCTAATATCTTTCTTTTTTTTTTTTTTAAAGATATATATTTTTTTTAAAAAATATTAAAATATTATAAATCGTTAATAAAAATCATATGATAAAAAATGAAAGAGAGATAATAGGTGATACAAATAACATATTTAAAAAGATATATTAGTAAATTCAAGATTTTGATCATTGTAAAATTTTTCATGTATCTATGGACTAACCAAATGAGCAAAGTAGCATATTTGGATAATATAGACACAACAGTTTATAGAAAAAAAAATATTAAAATTACTAAAAAAATAGACAACTTTCATCAATAAGCAAGCATGTTAACTAGATATATACAAGTAAAAGAGGGAATAGCTAATGCTAAAAAGAAAAAATGCTACACTCTTCAACCTAAAATTGATCCCTAGCAAGCAATTTCATTTCGTATACAGGGAACATCTTCTATCACATCTTATTGTATCTTGACAGTTTATAGACTGAGAAAGTGGCAAGCTTATATAACTCTCCAATGGTGCGCCGAAAGAAGGTCAGAGAGTCAATAATCTTAAATCACCTAATATCAGAAGTAGATTAGATTAAATGAGATGCTAACTGAGATTTAGAATGTTTTTCAAACCCAACCAAGTTACTAAGGAGTTTTTCTTTCAACAGTGCTTTTTTCTTTTCCTGACAAATTGGAATTGAAAGTGGATGGTCCATATGAGTTGGAGGTAAGAACTGATTTAGAGGGTTTGAATGTTGCAAATGTAATATTTGAATTTATTAATCAATGTCTTGTACATGATTTTTTATGAGAAACTGATGTATAAAGTATACACATTCTATATGGGTTAGAGGGGAGAAGAGATGTAGAAAATACAAATCAGACTTTTTACATCAGTTTGAAAAACGTTCTTAAAAGTGTTTACATTAACAATATTCAAATTTGAACTTTTGAGAAGATACATTTGTGAAGAAGAGGAATAATAGTTTCTTAACTTTGTTAGAGATTTTTTTTTTTAGTGAGATTTTTCTGGTTAAAGTGTTTTTTGTTATACAGATTGAAATTCAATTTCAATTGATAGGACAGTACATACGATTTAAAAGAAATTGTGGAAAAAGTCATGAAAGAAAATGAGAAAAGACAACATACTAAGTTCTAATTTTGACATTAACAACAATGATTTTTTTTTTCTAAAAACAATATTTTTGTAAATAAATTACAGAATAAATAAATAAACTAACCAAAATCATTGTTAAGAACAGGATAAGCAATGCTCTAATAGCAACATCCGTGTAGGTGGATGGGCTATTAAAACTAACTTTCTTGATCATGAGGTCAAAGATCTCGTCCAAGAGAAGATTGGTTAACCTGGTCATGAAACAATCTTTTTTACAATTTTACCCTTCAATCAGCTGCCAAAACTGATTCTATACTAAGTTCAGTCATTTTTTCAACACTTAATCCTAAGTATTATTTTACAATCTTACTTATTACAAGAGATGGGAGAATATTAAAATTCACCCACAAAATAGTTATGTTGTACATAATTCATACGAAGACTTGTTATATATATTAAAACAAAAAAGATCTATCCAGAAAAAGGAATCTTAATCTCAGCTCTAAAAAAAATCCTAAATTAATATGGAGTACTAATTTGACTTAATGGTAATGAGCGTGCTATAACGTTGAATTGTTTATATTCTTTTTAGTATTTTAAACTTTTAATTGTATCAATCTAAAGTGTTTAAGGAGGGAAAGAAAAAAAAATAACGTGTCCCGCTATGTTTTATCTTAACGATCATAATATATTGTATTGAAAACAATCTGCACACACGAAATTCACGATGAAAACACGTAAACGTATATATTTGAAAAGTGATAACGACGACACAATTTTTTTGTGATTTCTTACGTTTTACAGTGATAATATATGAGTTCCTCTAAGAATTCATGTGTGTATATTATAACGACTTCTTACATTTCCAAAAAATAATGATAAAGACATAAAATTTCCTTTAAAGATAATTATGAGTTCTTCATAAAAAGAATTCTAAGAACATGTATATTGATTCAGCTTATAATAAAACTAGTGCTTGATAAGTCCACTCAATTGGTGATGCCCCTTGTACAGGATATTTCTCCAAGTTAGGCATAAGCTAGTAGTTAAGTGGCAAGACAAATATATAATCTACATGTTGAGTTATTAAATGTTTTCTAAAATCTAATAAATTGACTTCAACTTATTTATATTTTTATGTTGTGAGGGAAAAAAACACGAGTACGTTGTATTTTATTATTGTTGTTATTACTTTAATTTTGCTTTCGCTTTTGGAGTTTACTTTGGGAACTTGATAAGTTCTAGTGATTCTATATATACCTGTTTAATTGCAGCAACTAATTGTCCATTCCATCTCTTTCATAAAATGTTACTTCCTCTTATTTTATTTTATGCATGAAAAAAGATAGGCAAGATCATGCTGCACACAAACAAGACAAATATCACACTTTCATACAAAATAAGGGCTGGCGTTTTCATCGTTTTACAGTGTGAGTTCATGATTTGTTTAGTGTAAAATGTCTTTTTTTTGCCATGTTGCGGAACATTTGTGCAACAATGAATAGAAAAGTAGGCGACAAAACAAAGATTATTAAATACTTTCTCAAGTCCAAGCTGACTTCAAACTACTTATTGCGCACACGTTATACGCTGTTTTAAATTTTTGGTGACTTCTTTTGGTGAGAGTTTACTTTCGTGAGTTGATAAGTTCTAATGGTTCAATTAATAAATTTGACTTCAAAACAACCATTTGCGTATTCCATCTCCTTCATAAAGTGACCCCTCGCTTTAATTTATCATCGACTGAGTCATGGGCAAGACCAAGTTGCGATAAGATGAGTACTATCATATTTGTCATACATGCATATACTAATCCGGGGAGACCTAAAAAATGCAGGGAAAAACTGTCGCTGTTTATTGGTATACAACATGATTCATAATCTATTTTATATAAATTGTTTCTGCTTTTTTTTCTAGAGTATGACTCATTTTAGAAGTATTTTTAAACTAGACTTTGTAAAAGAAAAAAATATCATTATAAAAAATGAATAACATTTGTTTCATAAATTTAAAATAATTTATTTTTTAAAAATTTTTAAAAAATTAATGAAAGAATTTTTCAAATTTTCTAAAAAATAGAAATATATGTTGTTTTTAATTTAATAAAAATTATTTATTTTTTATACTAATTTTTTTTATAAGAATTCCTTAAGAACTTTATCCGAGCTAAGTTTATATCATACTATTTGAGGAATGATTAATGGAAGGCCAATGCACGTGTAAAATCTAAATGAGAAAATATCTCATTATTTTTAATAAAATATATTCAGTTGAATTTATTTTATTAAATAATTTTAGTTTTTTAAAGGCATTATTTATAATTATATTAGTTTGTTATATGGGCCAAAACCTGATATAATTATAAATTAATGCCTTACAAAGACTTTGTTAACATTGTATATGATACCATCTGTTAAGTGTCATTCGTTTCCGCGACATGTAACCATTACATTTTCAGGAATATTATTATAAAAAAAAAATAATTTCCTAAGTGAATATAAAAAAGTTATTTAGAATTTAAAATTTATGAAAATGGTTATAAAAATTTAAATATTAAAAAAATTCAAATGGAACTACTAGTTAAAACATATGATAATGTTTTTATGAAAATATATACTTACTCTATTGTCATAGAAATATCAAAATGTTACATTCCCAAATTCCCATTGTAGAAATGATTTTGTTTATTTTATCTTTTTATTTTATTTATTTTATTTTATTTCATCACATTCGCTATTTTCCAAACATGTTTTGCCCTTTCCTCTCTTTAGCCTTTGTTTTATTGGGCCTGTTGGCAATGGGCCCTCAGTAGCATGCAAGTTTCAATGCTATTCTATCCGTAGATTAGATTACTCAAATCACACCCCAAACACCTCCTTTCGTCATCATCATTTTCATTTTCTAAACTAAACCCTCTCTGAACCCTATCCCAAATTTCAAACCTATTTTTCTCAGATTAACACACATCCCATGGCTCTCTCCAAATCCACCTTCTTAACGCACCTCAGAGCCGTCGCCAACACTCACAACCACTGCCGACCGCCATCCTCCGTATCCCTTCGCTTCCTCTCCTTCTCTTCCCCGGAGGAAGCCGCGGCGGAACGCCGCCGCCGCAAGCGCCAACTCCGCATTGAGCCCCCTCTCTCTGCTCTCAACCGCACCCAAACTGCACCGAAACCCCAATCCCAATCTCCACCCTACTACCTGAACCCTAACAACCCGAAACTCCCGGAACACGTCTCATCCGTAACCGGCAACCGCCTCAACCTCCATAACCGAATCCTAACCCTAATCCGGGAAAACGACCTCGACGAAGCCGCTCTTTACACACGCCACTCCATCTACTCCAATTGCCGGCCCACCATCTTCACCATCAACGCCGTCCTTGCCGCCCTGCTCCGCCAGTCCCGTTATTCCGACCTCCTCTCCCTCCACCGCTTCATCACCCAAGCTGGCGTTGTCCCCAACATCATCACCCACAACCTTCTCTTCCAAACCTACCTCGATTGTCGCAAACCCGACACTGCCCTCGAACACTATAAACAGTTTCTCAACGATGCTCCCATGAACCCTTCTCCTACCACTTACCGTGTTCTCATCAAGGGTTTGGTCGATAACAGCAAGCTCGATCGTGCTTTGGATATTAAGGCTGAAATGGATTCCAGAGGGTTCGCTCCTGATCCTCTTGTTTATCATTACTTGATGTTGGGCCATGCTAGGGCTTCTGATGGTGATGCTGTTTTGGGGCTTTATGAGGAATTGAGAGGGAAATTGGGTGGGGTTGTGGAGGATGGGGTGGTTTTTGGGTGCTTGATGAAGGGGTATTTTCTTAAGGGGATGGAGAAGGAGGCTATGGAGTGTTATGAGGAGGCCTTGAACAAGAAGATGAGTGCTGTGGGTTATAATTCGGTGCTTGATGCGCTCAGCAAGAATGGGAAATTTGATGAGGCGTTGAAGCTGTTTGATAGGATGAAAAGAGAGCATGAGCCGCCGAAGAGGTTGAGTGTTAATTTGGGAAGCTTTAATGTGATTGCAGATGGGTATTGTGCTCAAGGGATGTTTAAGGAGGCAATGCAGGTTTTCAGGAGCATGGGGGATTATCGATGCAGGCCGGATACGTTGTCTTTTAATAACTTGATTGAGCATTTGTGTGATAATGGGTTGATCGGGGAAGCTGAGGAGGTTTATGGAGAAATGGAGGGTAAGGGGGTGAACCCTGATGAGTTTACTTATGGCTTGTTGATGGATACGTGTTTCAGGGAGAATAGGCCTGACGATGCAGCTGGCTATTTTAGAAAAATGGTGGAAACTGGATTGAGGCCTAATTTGGCTGTTTACAATAGGTTGGTTGATGGGTTGGTTAAGGTTGGTAAGATCGATGATGCCAAATCTTTCTTTGACCTAATGGTGAAGAAGCTCAAGATGGATGTTGCTAGCTATCAGTTTATGATGAAGGTGCTGAGTGATGCAGGACGATTGGATGAAATGCTTCAAATTGTTGATACGTTGTTGGATGATAATGGGCTCGATTTTGATGAGGAGTTCCAAGAATTTGTTAAGGGGGAGTTGAGAAAAGAAGGGAGGGAAGAGGACTTGACCAAACTGATGGAGGAGAAAGAAAGGCTGAAAGCTGAAGCAAAGGCCAAGGAAGCTGAGGCAGCCGAAGCTGCCAAGAGAAGTGCAAGAGCCGCAGTGGCTTCTTTGCTTCCATCCAAGCTGTTTGGGAACAAGGAATCTGATTCAGAATCTAAGTCAGAGGGTGAAATTCAAGCTCTCAATGAAGAGAGCACTGATGCAACTGCATCTGAACCAGCGTTGGCAGAGAAAACAACAGAAGCTGAGGGTGATAGAGCAAGTGAAGAGGTAACAGCTTGAAGTTGCAACTTCTTGGTGCTTAGAGGAGGTATAATAACTTCATGCTGCTTGGATGAGGAGGTATGGTGTTTGTGTGTCTTGTCAACATAGTTTTGAATGATCAACCTACGTTACCAACATTTTTATCATTCTACATGTAATTAAACTTGTTGGAAAAGATTATGCAATTTATGGCCTTTCCATTTTACAATATCGTATTAATGGGATGTTGGTCTGACCCATCTTGAAACCCCTTGTACTGGAGCAACAAGATCAGTCATTGGAACTATAGCATTTTTTTTTCTTTCTAAAATGTATTGTTTTTCTGGAAATTATGATGGATTTTCTTAAACTGCAAGTGAAGCAACATTGACGTTGTAGTAGACGACAGGTTGGAAGAAAGATGAAGCAACTTATTTTTTGTGCAACGCGATGGGTTGTGAACTAATTGTGCGTCAAAAGCTTACATCTGTTCAGTGTTCTGCCTCCAAGTATCTCTTTCGCCCTGACACACACACACTCTTCCGAACATCTCTTTAATTTTTGAATTACTCAAATTATCAAATTATGGTAACAAATCCTACAATTCCATCTATATAAGAAGTGGGTATATAATTACGAAAAGAAAGGAGTGATACGGGTACGATTTGAATTATGAAGTAATGCAATAATTGAGTTGTAATGGGAACGGAGAATTATTGTTAGATCCAAACCCAAGAAAGAAATCATTCATCTGGAAAGTGTGTGCCAAAAAAGGAAGTCTTGCATAATTACTGTAATGTAGTGGGGTGTGGCGGGACGTTAGGGCCTAGTCTCGATTAACTTCTCACTTGTATGTGCTTTTTAATTATAAAACTTTATTGTTAAGACTTTGCTAATGCAAGGATGTTAAAGTTCTGTGTAGTTTATAGAAGTTTAATTAGTTTTATTTGCCTCTCCCCTAAATACTTGTATGAGAGATTTATTCAAATTGTTTCCCTGTTATTTCCACGTAGTTTGCACAATAAATTCATCTTCGTAAGTCTTTTTTAGTGTAAACTTAACCCACCAGTATTCAGATATGTGTAAGACTATCACGGACAACAGAATTCTCCTGTCAAAATTTTAACCCAATTATATTTTCAAGGACTTGAATTCAAGAGTCTGGAACAAAGCCCCACTAATTGATGTAGACTGTAGACAGTCAGTGGTCATTTTGTGTGATTTAATAATGATACTGCTCGATTAAATTGATGGCAACTGGCAGCAAAGATAGGAGTTCACACAGCTTCCAGTGTCGAAGTCCAATCAAGCAAATTTTAAAGGAAGAAAATCTTGTTTATCACACAGCTTATGAAAACTGAAAATTTCAAAGCCACCTTAGTGCCTTAATCTCTTACAGCAAGCACAAAGTTCGTATAAATTTAGCTCAGATGAGTGTCCCAAACACACAAATGATGAAAATGCCCTTCAAATAACATGTCAGCTACAGAGATTTGGTATGCACACCCCAGCATCTGGATTCTGTTGTTCCTTCCATATTCTTCCTGTAACTCTGAGTTTTAGCTCCTTCCTGTCCCCACCAGAGAAAAATAAAGCCATATTTCTTTGAATAATGAGGCCATCATGGCTATCCCTGACCTTTCGGTGGCTATCCCGAATACTCCGTGGTGTACCCTCCCAAATGAGTTTCCTGCCATTGGCCCCAACCTCTAGGCTATAGCTATAGTTACGAGCCTCATTCTCATCACCCATAAAACGAAGGAATGCCATGTAAACAGGGGCCATACCAAGTTGGAAAGCTTCAAAATGAAGACAGAAATATTGACCAAAACAATGAAATACCTACCAAAGAAAATGAGTTCGCAAACAAGAGAGTCAGAGGCAGTGAGAGAGTACAAGATGAGATAAGATTAAATGTTGCTCAGCTAGATGTTGAATTAACATAAACTTGTCTTTAAGCCATCATTCTTCAACACACACACACACTATATATATATATATTCAACAGTAAATATATGCCAAAGGGAAACAATCTCCTCCTCCACCCTCCTCCAGGATTTAAAAAATGAAAGAAAAATCAGATAAAATGATGTGATACACTTACTGTGAGCATCCAGGTTGCATTCTCAACTTCACGGGGATTTGACTTCACATAACGATGGTTGAATGTGCATCCTGTGTGCATGTCCACTTTATGATCATCCCTCAAATGATCAACAAGGAAAGGAATATCCCCAACAACAGAACACTCTGATCCAGCATAAGGACAGCTATATGGTCTAAAATTACATACTGTCTCATGCTTAAGCTTGCTGTAGTATGGAAAGATTTCTGGACATCCAAGGGTGTAGTGCTTGCAAGGTAACTCAAGTGATTCAGCCACCTTTTCTAGTGCCAGGCACCTAATATCTCCAAGCTCTTGTCTACATGTGGGACATCGGTTGTGCACCCTTGTTTTACATGTGGAACACAGTGTGTGGCCATTGTGACACTGCAAAGAAACTAATTGTTACATTTTCTCCCCTTTTTTTGGCATATTTACAATTACAATTACACCTTTTTCAGCTTCAATCATGACAAGATCAACTTTTGCACAACTCAAATGAAGAAATTAACACAAGAATTTCAGAATTAAAGCTTAGCTTATATTTCAAAGATAGGAAGAAATTCTGACCTATAGCTTTCCATCAGCCCAATGCTTAAAAATTCACTAGCTTCACTTTGTGTGTTTAAATTATACAAACATGCACATAAATATTGACAATTGTGCAGTGGAAGGATCAAGGATCACTTCAGCTTGTTGTAGCTGAATAAAGTTGCATTAGGCTTGAAAACAATAGGTAAATTTTCAATCCAAAGTTTTTACTGGTGTATCTTTTGGGGATGGGTTTGCTTTTCTAGCCTGTAGTCAACTTATTGATTTTTCAAATGGCTTAATTAGACAAGCAAAGAGATTGGAGATCCCTTTTGAGTTGATGACTTGCTCTTCTGAGTTTCATATTCAGGTATAATTGCATAAACATATATTGAATTTACCACTTTCAACACTATCGATAAATTTTGATCAAGACAATGCATATAGAAATTAATACTAGCATGATATATGTTCTGACTTCCAAGCATCTTAAGGTATTAAAGACATCCTGCAACTCTGACACATATCCAACCCGAAGCAATTTTTACAGAATATATGATTAAACAAAAATTTATCACAATTTTGGGCCTTGCTCTCATGAGAATCAAATGATCATGCTGCAAGGATCAGAGCTTTCTTGTTAACTACCTCATAAAAGTTCAAATTGCTCAATGCTAAAAAGAAGAATGCGTAAACTATCCTAAAACCAGCCTTCCCTCAAATGCAACGACATGCCTGGAAAAGGAAACACTTAGCACTAAGACAAACAATTAATTTACATTCAGTAAGCAGAAAGGAAAGCTTTAAACTGCACTATCACGTTCTCCGTTGCCGATTACATACAACAAAGACGAGATTAAAATTTGACAACATAGCAAATTCCTCAACTTGACACCTTATAACCATGAATTGCAAGCATTATCAAAATCTCACAACCATCATTGAAGAGTCATCAATTCCAAAACCAAGTATAAGGTACCCTTATCCCCTAACCCGGAGAAAGAAAAGAAAAACTGAAAACATGTTAAACCAAATTCACTCGAATTCACCAAAACAGATGGAAATTGGTGAAGGATCTGACCTGATGAATTGGTGGGTACATTGAATTAGTACAGACAGGGCATTCCAGCAACTCGTGGACGCTGGTTGCCGGAGCAATGATGGCGGGACCCATAGAATTATTGTTGTTATTAGTGGCTCCATTCCGAGGTTTGGTGGAAGAAAACTCAGAGTGATGATTAGGGTGGATCTCATCCTCATCCATGCCATCCAAGGATGACACACATTCAACGCTGTCCAAGTCCATCAACTCACCCAAACCTTCCACCACTGAAGGAAAAACGGCAAAAAGAGAAACACCCACTTGACAAATTTGGAAATTTCACCAAATAAATTACCTGGGAATTGGGTATTCCTCCTCTTAATCTTCTTCCTTCATTTCTCTTTGTTCTTCTCTCCTTTTTTTTCCTTCGCTTTCCTTGAAAATTTAAGCAGGAAAATGAAGAAGAGGAGAAAGAAGACGGGGATCGATTTGGATGAACAGATCGATAAATTTATTCCGAAAAATCAAACTCCGTTCTGGTGAAGAACAGGTTCTTTTCTTCGTTGTCTCTCTCTTTCTCTCTCTACCGAGGTTTTGATTGTGTCGTGTCGTGGAGAGAGAGAAGATGAGGACCGTTAAATTTCAGAAATTAGATGGTTGATGACTCGATCCAACGGTAACTAAATTTCATCTAATCTGTTTTGGTTTTTTGGTCCAATTCATCTAATCTGTTTACAGGAAAAGAGAAAACAAATTCACCTAATTTTTGTTACAACTTTTTATATTTTTCACAGACACGTTTTCTCAAAATTTTTATTATATTATTTTTTTAAATTTTTTACACTTTAAAGAATCATTTTTCCTTTTGTTATTATCGGAGGAGCTGGGGGTGATTTAAGTTTAACCAAAACTCACAATTTCAACATTAAAATATAGTTTTAAACTATATTCCAGAAACTAAATGATAAGATTATATATATATATATATATATATATATATATATTATTAAATCATATTATTTAATATATTAGTAATATTAAATATGATAAATTTTAATAAAACTGTATTATTTATTAATTTTTTACATATTAAAAAGGCAGTTAAAAAAACTTGATTTTCACTTAATTTAAAGTTAAGTAAAATTAATTTTTAAAAATTATTTTAAATTACTGAATATAATTAAGATACGTACATAAATTAATTTAAATCATATATTTTATTAAAATGTGTGTTTTGCATTAATAGTACAAGTTAATATTCTAACGAGTTTCGAACACTGCACAATCTTTCAATTTATACAGAATAACGTATGCATAGTTTCTGCAATATTTAATTCATAATTCATATTTAAACACAAGGAATATCAACTAGTGTAATTTGATGAGAAAACATAGCATGCAATGGAAGAACTGAATTAGCTAATCCAGTGGACACTTAAACTTTACTTACAAACATAAAATAATGATATGCAATGGAAGATACCATTAGCTTTTTTCATTGAAAAGAGAAAAAAAAGTTATTTGATTTCGAACTTTATTTATGTAGAAGCAATGATCATTATGGTGGTGCTTTACTCAATTCATATACATTCTTTGTTAAATTAAAAATAGTGATTATTTTTTTAGTTCTCACCCTAAAAAGTTGTACGTTTTGATCTTTACATTAAAAAATATTTACGAATTATTTTCTTGCAATGGTGTTGAATTTATATATATATACTTATAATGTTTTATTTTAATTTATAGCTTTATTTACACAACTTTTTTTTTACAAAATTTGACACTTTTGTTTTAATCACCATAAAATAGAAGCTCTAACACTATTATAATATTGGCAAATAACAAGGACAAATTTATAAAACAAAATTATGTAAAGATGAAATTTTTTTTTCATATAGTATATACAAAACTATTATTATAAGGATCAAAATTTAGGAGTGTTTGGTTTGAGAAAATATATTTTGTAACTTTAATTACAAAATTGTTACAAATTTATTTATATTTTTAAATATTTGTATAAAAAAATATTTTTCTTGTTTTAATTTTGTATACAAATTTTTTAAAACAAAATATAACATAAAAATAATATCACAACTTCGTAAGTAAAAACAAAACAAAATTCCTTAAACCAAACGGTCCCTTAGCTTTTGCTTATTTATACACACACAGAAATTTCACTCTTCTTCCAAAATAGAGTCTATCAAATTCACCTGAACACAAGGTTACGCCTTGTAAGGTTATGATATGTACCTAACATAACAGTAAAACAAGGCTAAGAAACAAAAGGAAAACAAAAACATTGTTGTGAAGTCACACCTAATTAAAGATGTTTTAAAGAACATTTATGGTTAAGGGTTAATTAACAACAGAAATAATGGTGTTAAACTGTAAAAATATGGAGGAAGAAATCTTAATATGGAAGAACCAGACGAGATATCTTATTCGCGTCGATGCAAGGCCGTAATCACAGGGATGAAGCTCCAACGCAGTAATCACTGCATAGAAGTTGACACAAACGAAAATGAAAGTGTATTTAGTTCTCATTTTTCTATCATCACTTTTCTATACTCTCACCCAACATTTAAGAGTTCTTTTTATACTATATTTTATATATATCATCTCAGACAGAGACATTGGCACGAATGATGAAAGTTATTGCTTCTGGTTCCGTTTTCACAACTTGATTTTCGGTGCACGTGCCTTCGCTTGCTTTGCTATTATATACTTCATCATTGATATTGCCATTGCAAATAATAGTAAATCATAAATACAATAAATAATGGTTGGCGCACTCAGCTGACAGAATTACAGAACGATACTGTTAACATCAACTGATTTGAAACATGTAAAAACAATCATTTTTATTAGGAAATGTATTGATGTTTTATGAAAAATATTAAAGTATGATGAACATTTTTTATAATAAAACTTTTACTATTTCTAATCATTTCAAATTAATCTTAGAAGTTGATATTAATATTTTTGAAAAATAAAACTAATTGTCAACAAATAAGAAAAAGCATACGATGTAAATTGTTGTGAATAGGCATGGGTGACATTATTTAATTCAAATATTCAAAAATTAATGCGACACATACATTTATACTCACATTATCTTACATTCTACGATTTTATTGTTTGATTTTAACAAAACCTCTTACAGCAAAAGAAATAGTAAGTTGCTTTAATAAACAAATTTAAATTCTCGTGTTATTGAATAACATGATAGAGAGAGAAAAACACAATTTTACTCAAATATAATTAGTAAATCTAATAACCAATCATGATAGATCGTTATTTGATAAAAATTAAATATTTTTTCTCCAGCATAACCATATCACGTAAGTTAACAATACAATAAAATCCAAGTTCTTGATAAACCTCGTGATGCCTTCAACTTTCAAATGCAAATATAGAAAGTCCCAAAGGAATATATGTTATCCTCATGAACGGCACTTATCCATTGACTTGTTACAATTATGCGAAGACCAATTCTGTTTCCAGAGTTTCAACAGCTTGTGATGCCCACTTGTGTTTAAAGAGAAATAATGAACTTTCTAAACATTCCCCAACGAAATGTTCAATAAAACATGCAATGATCATCATGGTGTATTAAACGTGTCGGATGGCCAAGGCTTGGTAACAAAAACAGGAATGAACCATAATCTTCTAATAATATACACGTTTGGTTCCATTAATAATGCCACTCAATGTACACAAATGAATCAGGTATTGCACACTTAAAAGGGGTATGTGGCATTTAGTTTACCTCATTATAATATATGCTTAACAAAACTAACCACAGGATATGACCGTTGAAACTACGCTGATTTCGGCCCAAGCCAGATGGGGCCATCTGAATCTACCATTCTATATTATTCAACAAATGTATCAACTATATGTACAAAGATTACTATAAATATTAGCAACATGTTACATGCTGGCAACGATGGAAGGAATTTCTGTATCTGCTTCATGATCTCCTGCTGATGCCTCCATGGTCTATGTGCACAAACAAGTATGATTAGAATTAATCTGATAGAAGCAGAGAGATAATTCATGTTGTCCAAATTATACACACCTCTGAATTATTTTTCTGCTCAGAAAGATAACGATCCAATGCACCCTGACCATAAAGGATTTTAGCCCCACACCCCTCACTTCCAACGGCCTCCTCATCGACGACAACTGCATCGATAACATCATTGCCTGTTCTAATATCGGGGATCTGCAGAAAAAGTTAAACAAAGTAAGCTAAATAGTCTACACAGTTCATGATGCAGTACAATCCAATATGCCAAGTTCCTGATAAACAGATGCAACAAAGGATAATCATTGCTTGTGGCACCCTAGTTAAAAGGCAGTAGTAGCTCAAGAGTTTTTAAGACCAAAAACAAATTTAAAAATGAGACTTTTTTTATTAATAAAATAATTTATTATTATTGGTTGAAAATTACGGTTAATTAAATATTATTTGTAATACCAATAAAAATTTAATAATTAAATTAAATATTTGGATTAAAAACTATTTTTAATGGCATATTAAAACTAAAAAATAAATAAATTTGGGGGGCCTAAAGCCCTTGCCTTACCTGCCTGGGCCTTAGGCCACCCCTGTTAAAAGGAGAATTGTGTTAGGGACCATAATCTGAAAAAATTCAGTGGAAAAGTTTTTGTGACAACATTGATTCTCTGACTAGACATTTAAGGGCTATCACAAGTTGATTAAACAAACATTGCAAAACTAATAAAATAAAATGGCTAATGTAATTAATTCATTGCTTCACATATTGGCAACAAGGAGGAACCTAATGAAGAGCATATCTTTTGATAGACCACCATCACACTCGAACAAAATAATCATGGTTGGTTGGTAGTTGCTTGAAATTTCAAAGTCACATATTCTCTCTAGATTCTCTAAATAATGTAAAATGGAGGTTAACGCCCATGTAGGTGGGTGCTAAGACCCAGTCCTTAAAGATTGTCCAGTGTCATTAAGTTATAGTATCTCCAATGTTATACACCAAATCTGATCCTGTAAGTAGCACTTGCACTACATGTCATATACTACAAACAAAATATATAGCATACCTCATACATGGCATCTACCAACAAACTTTCTAAAATTGACCGTAATCCCCGAGCACCAGTATTTTTAGATATTGCCTTTCTGGCAATTGATCTTAGAGCGCTTTCTGTAAAATGTAGCTTTACCTGAGAAACAAAGTACATCAAATTGTTGTCAGAAGAGCCATTTCCATCCCAAGAATGCCTATGATAGCATTCAAAATCTATATGAACAATTGATTTCCCCATTCCCTGAAACTACCATGAACAAGCAATATATATGTTTGTTTATAAGAGGGAAGAACAACAGTCTTTGCCTTAAGGTTTTGGATCAAGATTAAGTATCAGGCCCACCATTGCATCTACTCATGCTTAAACCATTGTAAAGGAAAAATATGATCTGTGAAATGTACAAGTAAAAGGAGGATGGTAAAACTTACTTCATTCATTTGGAACATCTTCTTGTATTGCTTCCCTAGAGCATTCTTAGGTTCTGTGAGGACCTATAGAAAGTTAATAGCATTAATGGCATTAGCTGGCTAGAAAAATGACTTGTACATTTTAAAAAGAGAGCATTTTTCAAGATATATTTTAAAGAAAACAAACACAATTTAATTGACTGAAGAAGGAAAAAAAATTCAGAATGATGTCAGATCAGTACAGTTTTGCTCAAGAGAATGCCAGTCTTTCTGACTTTCTAGGCATTTCTCATTCAATTATTTAATCTATCAATAGATTCTTAATTCACTACATCATTCAGCTGTGAACACAACCAAATGAGAAAAGTATTGCAGATAAAAATTTTCTGAGTGACCAAGTTGAATTGTTACACACACAAAGCCTACCTGAATGAGTTGATTTTCAGTCAAAGCTGACAAACTGACAAGGATAGGAAACCGCCCAACAAATTCAGGTATTAAACCATATGCAATAAGATCACTACTTTCAACCTGCCAAATAATAATTTTCAAAGATGTAAGGATCCAGGATGAATCTAGTTGGGGTAGTAAAAGCCAGTATCCTTACAAGATCTGCCTCATGATTCATGAAACTTACAGTTCCTAAAAGCGATGATGCAACAGCAGCATCCGTGACTCTACCAGTCCTCATGTTTGCACGTACAGGTGCCCCAAATCCAATAGAAGAATCATGCCGCCTGAAAGGGAAACAAAAGTGTTACTAGGTACATACAGAAACACTGCAAACTCCATATTGCTAATATCACTACTAATAAATTTTCAGGATTGTGCAACCTTTCTGATATCGTTTTCTCTAAGTCAACAAAGGCTCCACCGCAAATGAAAAGTATATTCTTCGTGTCAATCTGTGAAGAGACACAGATGGCACAAGTTGTAAATAAACTGAGAACTACAGATGGCTCTTAGCAATATAAAACGATATCAGAAATGAAATTCAACCAAGAGTGCATTTATACATAAGCATCTAAACAAACAGGGCAAAAAGGAGGAAAAAAATAACAAGAAAGATCAGTTAAGCTTTCTTAAAGATTTAAAACAAAAAATGCTCTTAAAACATTGAAATGTGCTTGCAACCATGTACCAGCACCATAATATATCCGATAGTCCCTACAAGTGCATAAATACCTGAAATTATAAGGTCACATACCTGAATATTGTCACCTCTGGGATGCTTTCTGGCTCCCTTCTCAGGAACATTGACAACCTTGATTGGAAAAATGCAACAAGATCAATATACAATGAATTGCTAAAATTACAGAATTAGAAAAACAAGAAGATGCTTGAATTATATTTTGAGTCTGCTGTTCTGACATAATCTTAGCAGCAGTTTCACAAAGCTATAAATCTACTTGCTTTCAATGTTGATCATAATGAAAAGAACTAACCGTTCCCTCAAGCATCTTCAGCAATGCCTGCTGAACACCTTCACCCGAGACATCTCTACTGATATTAAGGCTCTCAGCCTGAAACATAAAGAGGAGATATAGAAAACAGTGAACAAATATTTGGTTTTTAAATTTTAAAGATGTGGGAGGGGAAGGGAGGGGGGGAGACATAACAAGGGGGAACCTTTTTTGTAATCTTGTCAACTTCATCAATGTAAACAATGCCTTGCTGTGCAGCTGCTACATTATAATCTGCAACCTGGAAAGAAACTCATGCAATGTTGATACAGAATCCAGTTTGTGATGCTATATTTGTTCATTTAAGAATTATGAATTTATGATCATTTCATCAAACTGCAACCAGTCCCATGACTTCATGAAAGAAACACTAATACCTTTAAAGATTAATACACCATGGAGAAAACCACACTTCAATTAAAAACTGAAGGGAGTAGAAGATAGAAGAAAATAATTTCCAATAACAGAAAATTTTGCAATAGCATGCACAAGTACAAGTCAGCGCTATATGCTATGTTCAAACTTCAAATCATAAAGGTTAGAATACATGATAAGAAATTTATATATATTCTAACATGTCCCCTCAAGCTAAAACTTATTAAGCTTTAAGCTTGTTTCAAATAAACCACTTTAAGCTTTAAGATATGATATTTTCATATATTCTAACAAATTGAAACCCTATGATCTACCAAAGATAGAATCACACATCAAACCCTTTATAAACTTAGTTTATGTTCCACATATCATGGATAAGTCTTTAAAATATTAAAAAGCAAGGAACCTTTTTTTTTTTTAATTTACATTTTTTCCCCAAATACCAGAATTAATCCCTTGAAGATTAGATAGAGAATTAAGGTCCTGTTCAAGCAGGCTAAAAATCCTCAAATTACTATTGGATTAAAAAGATAAATAGTCACCACTCATTACAGTATTTACCATGAGGAGTTTGTATAATATGGATTCCACATCTTCTCCAACATAACCTGCCTGCACAAAGGTGACATTGGAGTTAGACATGTAACATTAGCATGTGATTTCCACAGATCAAAAACTAAGATGACAGTGTTTTTGAAAAATTGTAAAAGGCATAATAAATGTGTCTTCTAATCAGAGTTTTTGCAAAGAAAATGATTCCCAAATTACCTTCAGGAATTTTTTCAATTTGATAAAAAAAATAATTTGGATATATTTGCATAAAAATTCTATGCCTTCTAAGTACATAAGATTACAGGATGGCATAAACATGTGCCTTTAAGCTGAAAAGCTACAACTTATAGGATGTTTTACAAGACATTCAAAAGAAGAAACCTCCAAACACAGGCGAAATTTTTCCCAATCCCTGCACTCCTCATTTTGTTTTATATTAGGAGATGAAAAAGCAGAAAACGAGAATAAAGCTCACTAACTTACCTGAGTGAGTGTAGTCGCGTCTGCAATAACAAAGGGAACATTTACAAACCGAGCCAAGGTTTTGGCAAGTAATGTCTTCCCTGTCCTTGAAACAGCATCAAACAAAAACAAGTTACACTAGTAACCAGGAGAAACAAGCCATTAACAATTTTGCAAAGAAGTGAAGATGGGAAAAGAAAAGGTCCCAAACTCAATTCCCCTGTCCCATTTATTCAATTACAAAAATGATTTCGCAGTAAAATGTATAACCAAAGGGCACCACAATATTTTAATACATTAGAGCATCTAAATGAAACTAGATCTCTGAGATTCATCTCAACTCATTTGAATGGAAGCAAAATACATTAACCTACTATAATACCATGAAAAAAAATAGTACAGAACAGAACTGTGATAACTACAAACACTAGAACAGAAGGAAAAGGCAAAGACTGGTTTACCAGACCCAGTTGGCCCCATTAGAAGGATATTGCTTTTCTCAAGTTCAACTCTATCATCATCAACAGCATCAGCTTTACCATTACCACTTGAATCTCCTGCAGGCCTAACATTCCAAATAGTAAGAACATGTGAAAATCAATACCGATTACCGACATACAATTAACAAAGTAATGAAAGGACAACACGCTTAAATAATTATACTAACCACTTAGGCGAAGAAGATTCATTAAAGATTCTCTTATAGTGATTATAAACAGCCACAGAAAGCACCTAAAAAATGCAATCGAAACACAAGTGAGTACAACAAAATAATCATAGAAACAAAAGCGGGGAAACAGAAGTAACAAACAAACACCTTCTTAGCCCTCTCTTGTCCAATCACGAATTTGTCAAGCCCTTTGCAAATCTCCTTCGGCGTTGGGAAACTACTCCCCAAATTGGACCCGCCCCAGCACCCTTCCTTCGACCCTTCGCCGGCGGCGGAGCCGCCACCGCCGACTTCAAAATTGGAATTTCCCGGGCGAACGACGATGCCACCGCCGGACCAGACTTCGGGTGGGTCCCCAAAGGAGGCAACGACATGGTAGCCTCTGCGATCAGCTAAGGGGGTGGTGGTGGAATTGGCGCGTGGAGGGCAGTGAGAAATAGTGGCGCGTGTGTGGTTGAAGAGGAAGTGTCTGAAGTGGGAAAGTGCGAGGGTTGTTGTTTGCTTGTAACAGTGAGGTTTGGAGCGAAACGCAGCCATGGAGGGTGTTGGTGTTGTTGCAGATTGAATTGTGGATTTAGAAATAAAGGGGTTCGAAGAGGATTGAAGAGAGAGAAAGTGTGGACATTGATATTTGATTTAGTGAGCTGAATTGGGGTTTCGTGGAGAACTGAGGTTGCCGGAAGAGATTATTTGAACGATGATGTTGCAAGTAAAACGCCACGCTACCCTCTACTCTACCAAACCGCCTCAAAATCTTGTTCGCTTTCAATCCACTCAACAACGTCCTCGTTTTCCGATTTTAATTTACAAGGAAATCAGGAGTTATATATCGGCTGGGTTTAACGAGGAAAAAAAGTCATAAATATCACAAATATGTATGATTTTTTACATATTTTTATATAAAATCTATTCTAATAGTTTAAAATTAAATTTATTAAAAATAATTGTTAACTTTAAACTAAAAGAAATTAATGTTAAGAAAGTGAATATAAGTCTTTCAAGCAAATATAAATATTTTAATTTATTTTTTATTTTGCTTTAAACTTAAGCATTGTCTCGTTTTCCTAAATTTTTATTTATTCAATCACTTGAAAAATTAATAGAATTGAAATTTTTAATATTTTTAGTAATTTAAAACAATGTTTTATTATAATTTTAACTTTGATAATTTTTATGATACTTTATAAATTAAGAGAATATTTAAATAATTTTTTATATGTGAAATAATTATTACAGTTAATTTTATATTAATAAACAATATAGTTAATAATTTAGTTGAAAAAAATGTCAATACTCTTTAATCTTTAACACTAAAAAAATCACAATTGTCAATCAATCTAGAAAAAGTATAAAATATCTCTTTCAAGATTATGAAAACTGTAGTTTATTTTTTATATCAATATTTTATTTTATATTATTTTTTCTTATAAATAGAGCTTAAAACTCAAAACTAACAAAATCAAGTAAAAGGTCTAAAGAAGTCAATATCTAAAACATTGTGCCTAAAATGAGATAATAAGAAAAAACATATCAATATCTATAATATTATCATCACAACAAATAAGCTAACACATCCGCACAATGGTTAGCTTCCTAAGAGATATTACTGCAACGAACATAACTCATAACTCATATCAAAGAGTAAATACCTGATAGCATACACCACAAAAGGAGAACAATCATCACTACCTTTGTTCCCTAAAATTAAATCTAAAACTTTTCTAGAACCACATTCTAAAATAACATTCATCAAGTCTCTAGCTTTAACCAAATATAATCCAAACAAGATAGTCCATAACTTAGCGTCAATAGAAAAACATACTCCTATTTTACACATATATCCAACAACAAAACTCCCATTAGAATTACAAATAAGGCCACGACAAGCAGCAAAACACCCTTCCATTTGCACTAAACCATCAACATTCAACTTCAAAAATCTGTCTAGAGGATACCATCTGTAAAATCCTGAATTTTATTAGAAGAATAGGTGACGAATTTCTTGAAACAAAAGCCAAGTGTGAGGTATATGCTAAAATCTGAGATACAAGACAACGAAAAGCAATAGATTTTTGGTTAAAGATCAACGAGTTCCTATCGGTTTAGATTTTTTAAGTTATTATTCAAAAATAACATGTCAATCATATTATTAACTAATTTTTGGACTAAATTAGATCTGCACCAATTGGTTAAATCAATACTTAAAAAAAATACATCAATTAGCTTGAAATATTAATTAATTTCAAACTGAAGATGCATAAAAACAATCTCTTAACACATGCATAATAGTTTTAAGAGTTTAACGACAAAAGACAAAGTAGAATTAGAAAAAACTCTATGAACATTTCATCATTAGTTAATAACTTCCCATGGGAAATTTTTTATAAAAACAACTTAATTTTTGGAGGGTTAGGCTATTTCCAAACTTGCTTTAAAATATCTACTACTTGGCTAATAAGACGTTGATCTTTAAATAAATAGAAAATTTACCATTCATAGTTAAGGACTAAATAGGTAAATCAAATTTAACCCAAAAATAAGGAGTAATATTGGTTATATGACTACAAATAGAAGGACGCAATATAGGTTTAATTTTATCCAAATTTTACTCCCTACAAGAGGCAAACAAACATACTGGATAATCTAATTCTAACTTATTAAAAGTGTAAAAGTCACCATCATTTCACTGATATTTCAGGAACCCAGCTATCTGTCCAAAATTTAGTTTAGTGATCATTCTTAATTTTTCAGTCCAAACATTTATAAATTTTAAGCTAGATCTGAACCATAACTTTCTAAGTATTAGATATCTTATGATTACTGCTCACACTCAATAGCTTACCAAGATAGAATCTATACTTAGTCCTTAAAGTTTGAGCCATAAATTATTAGGAGAATTAATAAATTTCCAACAAAACTTCACAATATAAGCAAAATTCAATGTATAGATGTCTTTAAAACCTAATCCTTTTTTCTCCTTAGAAGCACAAATCTTAGGCCAATGAATCAAATGACATTTTTTAGCCTGCAATGAACTCCAGATAAATTGTTTACAAATCTTATTTATATTAATAACTTTTTATTCAAATTAAATCTCTAAAATTTTAATTGTTACAAATAAACTCTTTCCAACACTTTCAAATTCCCTTTTTTTAAGTAAGATAATTAAAATTGAAAAATTAAAAATGAAATTTTAAGTAAAATTTATAAATTTAATGTAACATATGAACTTTTAATTGGTGAACTTGAAAAAGAAGAGAGTTTCAAAATGACTAAATGGTTTTAATTCGTAGATATTTTTCATAAAAAATACATGTTTAAAAAAAAGCTAGTTTCAAAGAAAAAACAATAGAAATAGTTCGCTGTAATAATTAAAATATTATAATAAATTAGCAAACTAAGTTTGAATACAAATTATTGAAAGATTAACATCACACACTACAATAAATGGACTAATAATTACAATAAAGTATAAAAATAATATTCACAACACATTCTTTAAAAGAATTTGTACCTTTGAAATAAATCAACATAATAATTATTTTTAATTTTTAATTTCCATTTTCTTTAACTTTTCAATCGATATTTGTACTTTAAATTATTAAAAGAATTTGAGATTAAATCATTTTAAAGAATTTTTCATTTTCTGACGCAACCGGATTTGTAAGATAACAGTAAAAAGAATAAAAATATACATAAAAAAATTCATCACCAAAATCTATTTAATTCGAAGAAATATTGAAAGAAAAAACATTTTATTAAGGGGTTAGAACGTTCCAAACTTTTTCTTTTTTGGGTCAGTAAAATGTTCCTGATGTTCTCTTTTAGTAAAGAATGTTGCGAGTCAATAAACGAGATAGAAGGGATTAGAACATACAAAGAATGGGCTTCCACTAAAATTAACAAGAGTGGTCACCCCCAGCCCTAAAACTGGACAATTAATAAACAAGGATGCGGGACCAAATAAAAACGACAAAGATGAATATTCAAAATTGATTTTGATTCTCTGACAAAAAAATCGATTTTGATTCTTGAAAAAAATAACTAACCATTTAATCTCTAAGAATTGTAAAGAATAACATAAGACACTTTAACCTTGCCATTCAATAAATAAAATACTTAAAATATCTGAAATTTATAATTTTTAAAAATTATTTATTTCTTCAAAGACTAAATTGATTCAAATAATTTTAACAGAAACCAAATTGGGTGAATTATTTTTCTAATTTTTTAATAATTTAGATTACCAATTACCAACTTTATGAGTCAATTCTTTTAAAAACTATATTAAATCGGATGAGTTAAACTTTAATATTACATCAATATAAAACTTCTTGCACTATCAATCAAGAAAATAATATCTTAAATATAAATTTTAAGATAATTATCATAAAATTAATTTTTAATACTATAGTAATTCGTAATTAATTGCCAGTATATTTTAATTAAATTTAATAAATATATGCAACCTACTGAACCCAGTAAACTTCTATAAACTTATTCTCTTTGGTATATTAACTCAAGCCCTTTTTCTTTTTTTTTCTATCAAATCTCAATGTTATTCAATCTAAGATTTCCTTAGATACTTTTTTCCCATTTGAATTCAGACATTACCAAACAATCCAGCGATTCCCCAAGGAAAGAGAAAGAAAGGAGAGGGGCTCCTCCAATCCTCCAGAAACTGCATAAAAGAGTGTAAAACTAAGAACTACAGTTAAATGAAGAATTTTAAAACTAAAAGTAGAAAAAATGCTACAGAGATGTACAATATTCACAGCTTCCAATCACAATCAGCTCAGGAGTACGGTGAGCTAACAGATATACAAGGAACCAAGAAAATGGTGGTCCTAGCTTCTTGTGTCTTGAAGGGTAATCATGCATACTGACGGGTTAAACCTGATATCAGTGCCTCGAAGGCTAATCTGATTTTTCTACACAGAAAAACTTGAAGAAAAATGAAGCCCGTAATTGAAGAAAGGCCTCTAGCTCAAAAAAAAAAAAAAACACGATGTACTTGTTTTCTATCCAAAATTTATCTTCAAACTTAAGAAATCAAAATGAGAACAGCATTCTCCATCCAGAGCCAGATAAGAAAATGGATATGAGCGCCAAGCTCAAGAACAAAAACAAGTTGCAAGCCATGGGCTCTCCTCTTCATAGTTTCCTGTCAGCCTTGATTTCATGATCTAGATATAAATCTGTCAGAAGTGGTCTGAGCCTGATGGTGCCATTAGATGATAGAAACATAACAATGGTCAGTTATATCACAGTTCAATACTACAATTTAAAGTCAGATACAGAAAACTCCCATCAATTCAAACAACTATGTGAACTAGATACTTGACGAGCTTGCACGTAGATAATTTAACACATGCATGCATCAGCAAGAGACACTTGCTGTTGAAATCAATAGTCAACACTCAATACCCATTGCCAAGTTTGATATTATTTTAGAATATAAGTAATTTAATTTCCCATGCTACACACGGGTTAACTATTATTTTATATTATATTTTAGAATATAAGTAATTTAATTTCCCATGCTACACACGGGTTAACTATTATTTTATATTACCAAAAAATTCTTAATATAAAATATAGATAATATTCATAAGTGACATGTACTAAATACACATATAACCTAAATCTAATTATCTACATTTCAAGTGCATAGAAAATCACTGTCAAAACATAATTTTATTATTATATTATAATTACACACACACTATAATAATAGTATATAGTAATAGTAATTACAGTATGATTTTGTAACATCCGATTGATTTTAAGCAATTATAAATAAAAAGTTTTTCTAGAAAAATTAAATATGTATTACATTAAAAATACAAAAGTAAGTTTTTTAACTCGTTATATAAAATTGATTTTAGGCATTTAAAAATAGTAAGTTTTTATTTGAAAAATATATATTACATTGAAAATACAAAAGTATAAAAAGCACTTTCTTTTTTCAGTAAAATTTTATTATTATTATTATTATTTAAAATCAATTCTCCTGTTAAGGTTAACATAATAATAATATTAATAATAATAATATAGTATTAAATTGAAAAGTTGCTTTAGGAGTTAGGATTGCAGGGAAAACCCTCAATTATAATATAGATAGATTATCCACAAAACAAAACTACCTTAGGGAACGGATCTTTAGTGATCTTAATAATAGAATAAATTCCTCAAATATTAGTAGAAGAAATTTTCCATACATTCAAACAACATCCAAGGTTTTATAAATCAACTATGTTTAAAGTTCCAATTTACAGATGGATTTACCTGAGTTGCAGCTGATGAAGCTTGCTCTAAATACTTGACATAATCACTCCTCTTTTTATTGAAATTGACCTTCGCCGTATCCAATAATGCCTGTTCCCTGTTTATTTCCTCCATAATCTTTTCTTTCTTCCAGTTGACATCCTTCAACTGCCTTTCAATTTCAAGGTCGTTATCAAGCCCCATTGATCTTTCTGGTGGGGGGAATCTCACATCAACATCTTCCCTGCAAATCCCATATTTTTTTATTATTATTATTCATATTTGGTGATTGTATTCCTCTAAAAAAAATTACAACAAACAGCAGTCTGATATTTCTTAAGTAAACTCACTCTTTTTTACAAAAAAATTAAATACATTTAAAAAACATAAAACAGTTCATAGTAAAGACAAAAATGTATCAACTCAATAACCTACAAAACCTTAACATTACAAGGTTCAATGGTCATTCATTGAGGTTCCTTGTGTGACAACATATCAAGACTTACATAGTTCCCATTTAGTAAAAGATTGAGATAATTGACATTGATAAACGGTATATAGATAACATTATTTTGTATATTACAGTTAATTCAACTGAACCACCCACATCTTAAGAAATTGAAGAGATTTACATGGGATACAGTTGCAAGAAAGATTATTCTCCATTAATATATTATTTTCCCCCTAAAATGGAAAAATAATATAAGTTATGTTCCCATTCCCAGAATGGCATAATTTAAGGTTTCAACCTGTCAAATAATTCTCAAAAGATACTAAATACACATCATGCATAACTAAAAAAAATCTGCTATTCATACTCTTACCTATTGCCCAAAGAAAATACACCACAACTCCTGATCATTCCTCCATCTAAAGAAAGAGCTCCATCACTTATGCAAGGAAGTGCTTGTATCATTTCAGCCCTTGTCTTATATACTTGTAGTCGAGAAAAGAGATTATAAAACAGAGTTTCTCTGAGGCCATAACCACTGGGAGTTACACAAAATAGGTTTGAGTTGTCTATACTAATCATATTCACGGCAAAGCCAAGAAATCCAGCAGGACACTCCCCATTGGGCAATCTTGGGTTTAAAATATCCAACATCCGTTGTGGATCATCAACCACATATTTTCCAGCATAAGGCCTAAAACAAACAAGATGAAAAGAGTTAAAAAAACACAAATTTATCCACAATCACAAATGAAAGGCATATAAATACAAGACTCTAGAAATCATGCCTCAAAGATTCAAGACATATCACTAGAAATCGATCATCCAAAGCCCTTCCAATAGAGGCACCCAGCCCATGAAGACCACAACTTTTATTTATGCAGCCTTCCTTATCATACATTTCAAGAGCTTTAACCCCTTCATAAGTTCTACAAACAATTGCAAGCATAGTCTCCACTCCTAGATACTCTGAGAAAAGTCTGCAATCAAAATAAGTACAGTGAAACTACCTGCATGTGTAGTTAAATATGCATAGATAATAGCAATACAGAAAAATATATAATTTTTTTATCTTGGTTAAAGATAAAACACCACTTAGACTGAGGAAAAGAGAAGTTACTATGAATTTGATATAAGTGCGCAATTTCACAAGTCAAAATGTAAAAATCTGTGTCAAATGCACCTGCTAAGATTGTCATCCTTAACTTTGCCCAGCAGAGTGACAATACCCACAACATCTTTTATCAATGTAAGATGAGAAGCCTGAGCTCCATGACGAATTTTCAGCTGGCATAAAATACCAGCAGCAGATTTGTCTTGCTGCAATATCTGTTTATTTACTTCCTCGTCAATTGTAGGGTGAGGATTATCGGTATCACCAATCTTTGTTGTACTTGAAGACTCTAATTTCCCAATAGAAACTATGAATACAAAGAGAAAACATAAATGACACCTCCCCTTCATTAGTAAAGAATTATTACAGAAAAGGGGATAAAAGATCATCTAGACAGAAAAGAAACAAAGTTTAACAAATAACAATGCAAAAATTTTTGCATCCTCAATAGCAAATGACTGTATTTGATACATGCACCTCAATTTTCAGTCTATACATACATATCGTAAGCTGTAATATGACTAACATCAACAATTATCCATAAACTTCATTGCCAAAATACTAATGTTTCAATAAACTTATAAACTAGTCCAACCTTCACTGAACTGACTTACTTTGCTGTTATTGATTACCTACCTTGTAATTGCATACATCCATATGAAAGCTTACAATATTGATTCAGTTAATGCACCTTACAGAACAGGTCCATAAATAATTCATAATAAATAGGTTCTTGTCCACCAGCCAAAGACAGAAAAAGTCCTAAAAATGTACTAACAAATCAATGTACCTTGCAAATGAAGAATGGAGTCATCCAATTTTCTTTTTTCAGTGTTCAAATGATTTAAGTTGTCTTCATGCTGCTTAATTTTCATCCCTAACGCACGTAGAACATCTTCTTGTTTCTGCAAGTATTACAGAGGTACAAGTTAAGTTTGTAAAAACCGTCATCAATCAATTGAATTCCAAAACTTGACAATCTCTGTCTCAATAAAAACAGGTGCAGCAGAAGTAAGATGAAATTAATTTATTAACAAGTAATTAGTAAAGTAAAAAAGACATCCTTTTCCGTTTGAAAAAGCAGCATAAATATAAGCAACCTGGGAATTTTGAACAAAGCATTGTGCTTGTAGAAATTCAGCATTTTCCACACTGTTGTGTGTATTGATAGAGTTTACATTTAAATTCACTGGCAGTGGCACCAATGCCGAAGAAGACCCTTGAATGGATAGTGCATTTGTATGAACTGAATGCTGCACAAATAGAGCTTATTGGCATCCATAATCATAAATACTGATAAAGTTTGCACAGATGAAAAAGCATTACTAACAGTTACTTCAGCTGGTAGATGTTCCAAGCTGCTTGACTACCCCAAAAAAAAAAAAAGAGCAATTAGCCCATATTTAATTAGTGTTGGATAGGGAAGTTTAACTTCTTTAAATCAGGGCATTGATGTATGCGTTTATAAATTTCTTGCTCACTTTATCCTTTCTTTCATCAGATATAAAAGCACAAAGCAATGCAAGCGCTATTCCATAAGGCTTTGTTTACAAGTTCAATTTAAAAAGAAAACAAAGGGAAAAGGAAGGTTTTAAAAGCCCTTTCCCTGTTTCAGAGTTTTTAGAATTAAGGAGAATGGGTTTGAAGATTTTTAAATGCCCTCCAAACCCTCCCCCTCTTCTCTATCTTCTGAATTCTTTCATTTTGCCAGAGTATAAACATTCAAACAAAGGAAGAATTTCACTTCCTTCCCCCTCCTCTTCCTCACCTTTCAAACTCTTTCTTCATGCTCCATCTAAATTTTACCCTTAAGAAAGAAGGAAAAAAAATAGAAGATAAAATTTTCATTCTGAATAAATATTTTTTAATTTATTATTTATTTATAATTAAAAATAAAATAATACATTAACATAAACATAATTCCATGATATTTTATTTATTCTTATAAACATCAGATAACTCGGTTAAAGCAAAATAAAAAGAATATATATCGTCATTTTTTTTCACTTCTAAAACCTCACTCTCAAACACATCCTAAGAGGCAATGAATTTGAAATAAATGTAGGGCACTTAACGCAAATTGCAAGAACATGGCTGTAAACCAAATTTCGATCATAGAAGTGTTCTTGCTCTCTCATGCCAATGTCACATGAATATCAAAACCAATGTGAGTGGGAAACAATGCAGGTTAGTTGCATGTAGGAACTTAATTTTCTCGTTTTGTTACCATAGGCAAAGAATAATTATACTGAGACCGTAAAGTTAAGTTTGAAAAGAGGAATTGGAATCGGCACTACAGAAAAAGAAAATCTCCGACAGAGAATTCTTGGAGCCCTTCCAAAAGCCTCAAACACGCGAGTTCTCTTGGGTTAAGTAAAGGGAAAAAAATAAACTAGGAAAATAGCGACACAAAGACAATGGTTTAGTTATTGTAAGGGGAACGAAACTAGAAAGAGAAAATTGAAAGAGAGGGAGAGAGATAGACCTGGTTGCTGGTATTGGGAGTGGGTGATTGAAACATGACTGAGGGAGTGAGAACTCTCCCCTCTGAGTCTTGAGTTTGCGGAACGTGAAATTTGAGAAATGAAAGGGGCAAGAGAATAAAAACAACAATCTCTCTCTCTCTCTCTCTCTCTCTCTCTCTCTCTCTGCTTTCTCAAGTGGTATGTTGAATCGCTGCTTATGAAACTAAAAATATTTTGATTTAATCGAGTTTAATTAAATTCTTTTAACTATTTAAATTATATTTAATATTTTAAAATAATAGATATATGTGTTTTTACATAATATTTATTTTATAAAGTAATAAAAACTTAGGAAGTTAAATAAAAAACATGACAAAGTTCTTATTTAATTCTGAATAAGAGCTTCGTAATTTTTTCTTAATAAATGTTCTATTACTTCACGAAGCATAGAATAGATCTAATTTTTGTATATTTTGCTTTTATAAATTCTTTAAAGTATTAAATAAAAATTAAATATATCTTGTGTTTTTAAAACAATATATGTAATTAATGCTTATTTTATAAATAATAAGAAAATTAGAAGAGTAAGTAGAAGAATGTAATGAAACTTTAAATTGTGCATTAAATTATTTGTATTTATTATTTTGAAAGTAAAAAACAAAAATAGAAGAATAAGTAAAAGGATGTATTAAAACTTTAAATTGTGTATTAAATAAAAAAGTATGTGCATTTATTGTTTAAAAATAAAAATATATATTTAATATTCTTTCAGTTTTATTTTATATATTATTTATTAAAAATATTGATTTTATTAATTATTATAATGTAAATAAATTTTACTGAAATATTCTCAATTAAAATTCTAGAATAATTATAGTAGTTAGGCAATGAAAATTATTATTAAAGTAATATTTGGATTATTGTAATGGTTAGTTGCTAAGAACAATTTATAATAAATAAGAGTATCAGTAAAAGAAGAATGATTAATACTTTTCTGATATTTTAAAATAATAATTTATATGAGATAAATAAAAACCGTTATTTAATATAAAATGAAATAAATAAGTATAAAATTTTATAACGTAAAAAAAATTAAAAATATGCTTTTGTTAACTTTATTTTCTATAAGTCATTTTAAGCATAATTTTTTTTTAAATATTATAAAAAATATGCATCAACTTTTAATTATAATATAATAATTATTTTTTAATAAAAATATTAACTTTAAATACTTAAACTCAATTTTATAAATTAATACTATTAAATTTATTAAATCTAAATGATATTCAATTTTATTAATTTTTATTTTTTTCATCATCGTCACGCTTTTTTAAAACAAATAATAAATTATTATAAACAACTAAAATAAACTATTTTACTATATAAGTTTAACTTAGTGAAACAAATTTTAAAGTTACACACACTTATTTGTGTCTTTGATAAATCTTTTAAATTAGCTTTTAATTTATTTGACCAGCTTAAAAACATATTTAGCTAGATTAGACATGTTTAATAAAAAAATTTCTAATAATATGCAGCACTTTTTGTAACAAATTTTTTCAGATACATTGATATTTTCATTTTTTTTCATTCTAGCTATTGACAGAATACGGGAATGGATAAAGATAATTAATTAAATATCTGTAATTAATTCCTTCTTCTTTATTTCTTTTTTTTAGAATGAAAATCTTTTCAATTAAAAAAGATAAAGGATAAAAGTAGATTTAGCTTTAGTGAAACTCAAAAATCTAGTCTAAGCTTTAATGAAATTGAATTAATTTGTTTGATTTTAATTTTAATTTTTAATTTTTAAAAATTATATTTTTAAACAATTTTATAAAACTTTTTTTAGAAAAATAAAATAAAATAATTTTTGTTTGATAATTTAGTTTTTAAAACTGTTTTTGTTTAGATTTTTGTTAGTTTTAAAAAGGAAAATAGAAAAATGAAAACAAAAATACTTTAGTTGTTACATATATTATTTTAAAATATATGTTTGTTTTCCATGTTTAAAAGAGTTTTCAAATTTTTTTTCTAAATATGGTATAAATTTATACTATATTTAGAAAAAAATTGAAAACTCTTTTTAAAAGAGAAATCAAACACAATAGTAATTCTATTTTTTAATTTTAAAGATTGAAAATAAAAATTATATTTCAAAAATTATTTTTAAAACTTATATCAACAAACAAGTTTTTCTATTTTTTAATTTTAAAATTAAAAACTCTATTTAAAAAGAAAAAACAAACAAGCTCTAAGTTCTTGTAACTTGTATTTTTTTCTTTCACAGTCTTATCATAATTTATTGTTTCATATTCTTTTATGTAATTTTTTATTTAAAATTTAACAATTAATTTTATCAAAGTACATTACTTCTTACCAAATACAGTCAATATTATGAATTTCTCACTCTAAAATGAATTAGGGTGAATTAATTGATTATTCCTGAGCAAGAGTGATTGTTTCATTTATTAGAGGAACAATTAAAAGGCATGGTTTTGGCTTCATCAATGATAAAATATGGTAATGTTTAAACAAGGTTGGGGTGTAACTCTTTCTACATTTGCAATGTCTACTGTTTCAGTAAATCATCAAAACACGTGGTCCCCTGATATTGTGTGGGACGTTGTTTATTTCAGGTTCATTTTCACATTAGAGCTTAGTAAATTGGCATACAATCACATGTTTAAATAAGAGCAGAGTCCAAGGTATTAGGAAAAGTTACTATATAAATGATAGTTTTCGTAGAGACTGTTTATTTGAAGGAATCTGAGGGAAGAGACGGAAGAAGAGATTATTTATTATTTTAAAATTAAAAAACATTATATATTATTTATGATAATAAATAAATAATTAATATATTAAATTTATATTAATGTATTATTTTATATATTTTAAATTAAAATATTTATTTATTTAAAAGAAATATTTGTTCTTTTCTTTTTTTCAAATTATTTTTAAACTATTTTTAAAAAAAACATGTTTGTTATATACTAGCCAAGAAAGATAAAATATAAGTATAACTTCTCAACAACAAGAATGTGAAGAATACAAGTATAATTAATGTGACCCACCTAGATATTTTATGTTGTTAGAACTCATAGTAGGAAATTAATTGAAGGTAATATTTATATACAATAGCATTAAGAATTAAGATGTCTTAAACTTTTGTATAATCTAATTTTTTTGGTGTTTTTTAAATTTTTGTTGTTATTATTTTAATTTATTATAATGAGTTATAAGTTATTATGATAAATTATGAATAACTATAAACATGAGTTTTAAAAATGAAAAGACATGTTTTTTCTCATGCAATAAAAGGTAGTGTATATACTTATTATAATAATAAAAAAATCTTAATATGTTCATGAACATACGTCAGTTTGATGGGATTACGTTAATTCTTACTTATTTTTCTTTTTTTTTTATTACTCTTTTTTGTTTTTATCATACCAAGTGATATCAGAGTCAAAGTTTATCTAAGCATTATATTTGTAGGATTATTTCATTTAAAAAAGTTTTTTTATAAAATTCTTCTACTCCTTCCCTCTACTTTTTGGGGGCTTTAAAGTAACAATTTCTTATATAACTCGTTTTTCTCTTATTCTTTAAGTAAAACAACAATCCTTCTAATTATTTTATTTTTCTCATTTTTTTAAATATTTTTTCTACTTTTGGATATTATCTCTTTTTATAGGTTAGTCTCTTTCTTATCACTATTGAGCACCATAGTGTAAAATCATAAAATTGAAGCGGTATTGATAATCCATGAGTTTAACATATCATACTTAATTTAATGGTTTAAGAATTCACTCTACTTTAATAACTCCTTTAATTTTTAACATCTCATTCTAACAATGCAAGTTTCTCGAGTGTCTGTGATTTGCTTGTTAATTATCTCCTTTCTCTTATAGTAGTATTATTCTTACTATGTGATTCTTCATTTTTGTAAACATATCTCTTTTTAATTCACTTAGTCAAACTATTAATGAATTATCTTTCTCCTTAATTTAATTTCATCCTTAATATTGTATTTAGTTACCAACCAATAGCTAATTCAAATTTTTATTTCTTGTTGGTGGATAAATTATCTTGTTGAATCCAACTCATAATTGGCTGACGATACCCTTAAGTCTAGCCAACTATATTGTCTCCTCCTTTATATTAATAAATTGGAATTTTTTTTTTGTTTAACTTTAGTTTTAAATTATTTAATTTATTTCCCAAATGGGAGTCTAAAAAAAAAAAAAAGTTACAACTTAAGTAAACAAAAATTAGGCACATGTATTTTCTTACTGTTTATTTAATAAATAATTTGTAAACAACTTTTTTTATTAATTTAACAAAATAATTTAAAATAGTTGATTTTAACAAATTATATAAAAAAAACTAAAAATAATTTATAAAAATCATAAATTATTTATAAATTTTACTTTAAAAAAACTTTAAAGTCTCGTACAGGTAAGCCACCTGCAAAGTGCATGTTGAACATTTGTTTGTATTAAAAATAATTTTCTTTTTATAAATGGTTCATAAATTTTTCTTAAAAAAACTCGTACAGGCAACCCCCTTATACAGTGCATGTTGCTTGTTCATTTGTTTTATTTTGCTTTTTTCAAGAGTGCATGTTGGACTATTTTTTTTTTTTTAATATATAATGCACACAAGCTACTTCTAGGGCCCAGAGGGCTATGAAAATTAACAGTTTTTTTTTAATTCGGTCGGTGACGTCATATTGGTAAAGTTATTACCCAAAAATATCTTTGTAAGTGGGCTAAAATTTATGGACTTGTGCATAAATATTTTAAGACTACTGCATTCATTTTGGGCCTATTAGTACAGTCCTTTTGCTTGCTGTTCAAATAAAAATGGCATTCCTTATGCGTTTCTCTTTTAATTTATAAAAATAAATAAGAAAAAATGTGTTTTAGAGAAAATTATAAAATATGAAAAAAAAACTTTCAATTTATTGATATTTTTTTACACATGAACATTTGATATTATTATGGATTCAATTTCAGTGTCATTTTCTTGTACACTAACATTTGATATTATTATAAGATTAATTTTAGTAATATTATGTATATTAGTCAATTTAAATTAGTATATAAAATTTTTAATTTTATATAT